GCGCGCATCCATGTTGCGCTTGCAGAGGGATCACGTAATTTACCCGGAAACAACAACATTCTAATTTCTGATTGGCTGGTCGGTGTCATTTAACTCTGTATAACTCGAGACAGCTGTGAACTCGGCAGAGAACGTCCCTCCGTATTCGTCCATTAACTATAGCAGGACAAGTTATCCCTGATTTCTCGATTTCTCAGGGTGAGAAGTACAAGGTGTGCCGTGAGAGCGCGTGAAATGCGTGTTAAATGTGCGCTCATTTGCATACATTTCTAGAACAAAAATCTCAACATTGGATGAAGCCAGGCTCTAAATTCTTGTCTGACAATATTAGCCTCAAAGGTTTTAACAGATGGGATTTTGGAGATTTCTTTTTATCACTCCATAAAAAAAGCCATCAAAAATCACGCCAGTAAAAAAAAAAAAAAAAATTTGCATTTTTGTTTTTGTTAGAAACAAAATGTATAGGCAAATTATAGCCTATATGAACAAAACCTTCAGAATATAAATGGTAATAAAACTGTAAAGCTTGCTGTGTGCATGTGCTGCTGAAGTGGAGATTTATGGCTTCAGTGCAGGAGAAAAATCTCATTTTGAGAAAACAGCCAACAGATATGTATTATAATAGAAATCCACAGACAGAAATAGATAACGTGTTATAAAAGAAACACTTAAAGGTGTATTTTCCATTAGTCTGAAAAAAATACTTCATGAAAAGCCAAAATTAACAGGTGCATGAAAAAACAGTGTTTTTGCCTGCAGTGTCTCGCCTTTAAAAAAAAAGTGACCCTGTGGGTATAAGTGGATTATTGGTTGTTTTTTAAAATAATTATTTGGGCGAGTCTTACTGATTTGGAGTGTGACGTCACTACCGCATTCTGACATCAGGTGGCGCTATTGTACTAACGTCACGCGCTACTGCAACCACACTTAAACACTCCTTTAATTTGTTTCAAACTCAAATTCGTTGAACTGTAATACATGCAATAGCTGATATTGATAATTATGTAAATGTAATGTAATTAGGACAGATGATTAATCCACGTGTCTCAGGGGTGGAGACGCGCGCGCCTACAGTCTCCTGAGAGCCGCAGGTCTTCAGACGCTCGCGGGGACCAAACACACTCGGAACGGTACGAAACTTCACTGCTTTCATCACTTCTCTTGTATTATGTGGTTTTCTTTCTATATTCTTGATTTGAGACTTTCATTGTGTTGTTTCATAAGCGTAGCAACTGTGAAATCAGTGTCAGTGCTCGTCGAAAAATGAATAATGCTTTCATAAGGTGTTGAATGTACAGAACGATATTCAGCAGTTTTTACATTAATATTAGATGCTTTCAGTTTCAGCAAAAGCTTACCATGGCAGGACCCTTTAAATATCATGGTATATGAGTATAGGAATCATTTTTAAATGTCTTGAAAGTGATCTAATGACAAATAATTTAACACCGATTTTATAACGTTATGCATTTATTTGTTAATTAATGCAGAACTATATGGCTATTCGGCGTTTTTTACATTGCAAGTTAAAAATTAGCTACTAATATAATATGCTTACAGTATATGCAGAGAGCGAGATTGCATTATTTTAATATTAATCTGCTTTAGTTTCTTTGGTTGGAGATCCCACAAAAACTTACCATGGGTTTTTGGACATGTAGCATGTAGGATCATTTAAATATCATTGTATATTCTGTTGTAATCAATCAGTATCATGGTATTGCAATGTAAATGCGCTATGGTGCAATCCACAGTACTTATATAGGCTCTTTCACACTATCAGAAATACAGTGAATATTGTGACAAATGCATAATGCAGTTAACATACAGTCAACAAAATACATGCACGACTGTAAATGGCTTATTGACGTGCTGCTGTTATGCGACTGTTATTGTTTTGTGGTCAGTCTGGCTGTGTTGAAGACTCTGTAGTGAACCTCTCAGCCATGTCCACTTTCAAGGGCACTAAAGAGGCGTCACAAGTGTCAGAGGGCACGGTGCCCAGCCTGTGCTTCTGGGACATGTTGCCTGGCCAGGCAGCTGTTTGGTGTATTAATAGGGTCTGTGAGTTTTCACAACCTCAAAGAGCTGAACTCAATTTGTGAGTTTACTTTGTGGCTTAAATCTAACAAACTAGATTTTTGAAGACGTGCAACTCACCCTCACAATGCATTGTGGTTGCCAAGTGTAATTCTAGTCGTTATAAGCATAGAATGTACTTTTTTATCTTAACAATGTGGTTCTGTTCCAAAAACTAGTGTGCAGCCTAAATAGGATGCATTTTAAGGCATCACAGGCATGCTTCAGATTGCGGTGCCTTATTTTGGCCAAATTTAAAGGAAATATTACACATTCCTTAAAATAGCAATGTAATCCTATAATGCACTGTAACTACAGTGGAAAAAAGGAGAGAAATGTTGATTATGAATTTTAATAATAATACTAGTTTATACATAATTTGTGTCTGATAGAATTATGATTATAAATAGAATTTGGTCAAAAAATGGAAGAAAAGTAAAATTATTGGTGGAAAATAGTTCAGTCTAATTAAACGGGGACGTAATAAAATTTATTTATTATTTATTTTAGTTTTATATTTTTATGCTTGTTAGACTATTGTGTGTATGCTGATGTCTGCTGGAATCATTTGTTCACATGAATCGCGTCAGCTTTATTAATGAGGTTTGATTTGAGTTAGTATGCAGCTGCTCGTGTAGGGAGCTCACTAGGGTTTGGAACAGAACCTCAGTCTGGTTTAGATGCTGATTCATGCTGTATTTTGAGTGTTCCAGATGTGTTTCCTTGGCTGCTGGTCTCCATATAGGGAGATTTCACAGTCGTAACAGGTTAAGGTCTCTCATTTGGCTCAACAGATCACTGTCCTGCAGCCAAACACCATCCTGGAGAATCAGGAGGGATTTCACTGCAATTCAGAGTCTGACCTTAGACAGGATCTATAATGGCATATCCTGTATCTGAGGCTAAATCACTAAATATTGATAATGCAGAGGTGTCCAATCCAAATCCAATCCAAACCTGCTAATAATCACTTATTTTGATTCAATACGACTCTCAACTTGATGCTCACATAAACCGATCACATTTTAATGATGCAAAAGATGTGCGCCTTTATAGTTTCAGCTCCATGTAAATTTTAGTTACATAGAATTAAAGGTTAGAATTAAATCTATGTGTATATCATATAGAAATTTGATTCAGATTCGAGAATCAATTTGAATCGAATTGAGAGAATCTAAATGATTCCCCCACTACTACCAATCACTCAGAACACCCTGACAACGCCCTAACAACCAGAACACCCTGACAACACACTAGCAACCACTCAGAACACCCTGACAACGCCCTAACAACCAGAACACCCTGACAACACCCTACCATTCAGAACACCCTGACAATGCCCTAACAACCACTCAGAACACCCTGACAATGCCCTAGCAACCACCCAGAACATCCTGACATCGCCCTAACAACCAAAACACCCTGACAACTCCCTAGCAACCAGAACACCCTGACAATGCCATACCACTCAGAACACCCTGACAACGCCCTAGCAACCACTCAGAACACCCTGGCAACTCATAGCAACCACCAGCAGTGACAGTGAGTTTTGCACAGAAAAACAGCACTCACATTTTGTACTGAATTTGTACAAATCTGGTTTGTTTTACGTAGAAATAGTTTAAATATTTTATGTGTCAGGTAATGAAGGACTGTTAGTGTGTGTCAGTGTGTGCGTGTGTGTGTGTGTTTGTTTGGTCTCTTTCTCTCAGTCTGGTTGTAGTTTTCTGGCTCTCCTCCAGTCATACACTGTTATTTTTAGACTCAGCAATGGGAAAATAAGAAAGCGTATAATGACTAAGAGGATGTCTCTCACACACACACACACACACACACACACACACACACACTCACATAAACACACTCACACACACACGCGCGCGCGCACACAGGCGTATGACTGTAGATGCGGTTTAAGCGGTGTAATCTATCAGTTATTTGTATAATTAGCATGAATATAAAATGATCAGGATTGCGTTTGATGAGGTTTTGCCGTTGGTTTGGCTCTAAACCCTCAACATCATGTTCCTGTTTTCTGGAATCTCCTCCGGATTCGGAGCGATCGGCGCTCGTCGGACACTGAGGTGTTTGGAGGTGTTTTGTCGGTTTCGTCTCTTTTGTACAGGTGCAACAATGGCTTATTTTTGTCCTCATGTTACGGAGCAGGACGGAAACTCACAGACAGCACAGGAAGTCAGGCCTCTCTTCTCTCTCTGCTTCCTGTTGCTCCTCAGAACAGAAATAACTTTCTCCACGAGGAACCTGAAGCTTTTAACCTCTTAAGATCTACAGTCAAACACGGTCAGGCTATAAAAATGCACAGATATGGAATAAAAATATTTTAATATTTTAAAAATTCAATATTTATTTAAATATATTTAATATTCAAATATTACTATTTAAATGTATTTAATATTCAAATATTAGTTATAATATAATGTTAGGGATTCCAAACACCATTAGTTCGCACGTCTTGTAATATTATTTAATAAAATAATAGTTCATTTAGAATACTAGCATTTATTTAATACAATTTTATATTAAACATTCATGCATTTCATTATATTGCTGCATTTATAAAAGCAGTTAGCACGATGCCATGTTTTACGTATTTCTTTCAATTTAGATTTTTTTAAACTATATTATTTATTTGAATATTATTTAAATATTAAACAAAATGTAATGCCAGTAATTCCAAACCATTAGTTTCCACGTCTTGTTAAAATAATTGTTTATTTTGCATAATATTATAATTGTTTTCTATCATTTTGTATTAAACGGTTATGTATTTTATCATATCGCTGAATTTCTAAAAGCAATTGGCTAGTGATTTAATTAATTAATTAATTGATATATTTATTTAAATATTGCTATTTAAGTATATATACATATTTTGTTGAACATTTCTATATTCAACAAACATCAGGCTAAACATTTTGTAGTATTATTTAATAAAGTAGTTGTTTATTTAGAATGTTATCGTTTATTCTATGTAATTGTATACTAAACGTTTATGTATTTTATAACTTTGTTCCATTTATGAAAAGCTGTGAAGGCATGTGTTACAGTGATTTATTTATTTTTATTTAAATAAATTGAATATTTAAATATTAAAGTAATGTTATGCAAGTGATTCCAAACCCATTTTGTATGACTATTTAATGAAGTAATTGTTTATGTGTTTTATCGTATTGCTCCCCATTTGTGGTGAGATCGTGTGTTACAGTGATTTTACCGCGGTATGGTTCATGTCATGCGTGTGATGCAGAAATAACATCCTCATCCTCGGCGGTAATTAAAGATCTGGGATGTTTGTCCAGTGGATGTTTCTCATGATGCTGACCTTTGACCTGAAACTCATGGGAAAGGCTGACTGTATAATGTTCCCAAACACGAGATGCTGCAGAGAGTGAACCCACAGGAAACCAAATGCTTCTCAGAGTTCAACGTAAACACATTAACCAGCTAACTAACTACTCACTGATCGTTCCGTCCTGTGGTGTGAGTAGTTTAGTAGCGTGACCCACAGTTATTACAGAAAGCAGCTGGTAATAATCCTCTCGAGTGTTTCCTTTCTTTCATCGCAAACACAAACAGTGACAGCTAACGATATCAATAATGTTGTTTAATACAGATTTCATCAACCTTGCAGATTAATCTGTTTGTAAAGCATTGCTGGCCACTGAGGTGTGTGTGCATTTAAATAGCTGTTATATAAAACATAATAAGGGATGTTATTTATGAAACAGTAATATTTTTTTTAATAATTAATGATAGTATATAATTGTTGTTGTTGTTATTATCAATAACAATTTTAATTTAAAATCTACATTTTGTTAAATAAATTTTTTGTATATGTATATATAATGTTGTATATGTATCTATATATAATATGAGTTATTATATAAAACTAGTTATGTAATAATATATAGAATGATTAATGTAATTAGGCTAGTTAATATAAAATCTAGTATTATACACAAAAGATGAATAAGATTTTAAAAGGCATACATTTTATTTATTGAAGAAAATAATTAAATTAATAATAATTTGTAATAATAACTTGTTATATGTTACATATTTAATGCTACATACAATTAATATTAGATCTATAAATATACAAAAAGATACATAATTCATATAAACATTTTGTTTATTACAGAAACATACATTTTTTAAATTATCATGTTTTATTTATTAATAATTTGTTATTTTATATATATGTGTGTGTGTGTACTATATGCATGCTACATGTATTTAGTATAATTAATGTTGAATTTATTAATGTGCATAAAATATACATACTGTACCTATATGATTCATATATACATTTTATGTTTTACAGAAATATATACATTTTATTTTTGTATAAAATATTTTTTTTTACAATAACGTATTTTAATATAATAACAACACTAATTATAATATTATTTATAGCATAATAGTCATTATATGTCATCAGTTATGTATTATATATTTAATGCTACGTGTATTTCATATAATTAATATTAGATTTATTAATATGTGCATGAAACTTTAGACTTTTTGTGAAGAGTTGATCCTGAATGCATTGATCAGCTCCTGAAGGTTTAATGTGGAGGCGAGTGTTTAATGGAGTGAATCAGGGCTTTGACCGCTGTGTTTACACGAGTATAAACAAGTGTGCTCTCACGGACGTCTCACACTAATGTCACAGCAGCTGGGAACAGCACTGAAGCACAAGTGTGATCTGCTGTGTTGTTGTGTGTCTGATGAAGCAGTGTTAAGATGCAGATGTTTGTGTTTGTGCTGCAGATCATCATGACAGCAAACCCCTCCGTCCTGCTGCTGCTGCTCACGACACTATTGTGTGTCTGATGAAGCAGTGTTAAGATGCAGATGTTTGTGTTTGTGCTGCAGATCATTATGACAGCAAACCCCTCCGTCCTGCTGCTGCTGCTCACGACACTACTGGACACTCCGGTGAGTCTCGGCAAACACGATATCATTATTATTTATCAAACAATACGCTGTTTAAAAGTAGATTTATTTATAATGAGTTATGTTGTACATATTTAAGACTATATGTATTTGTATATTTAATTGTGTGTCTGTGTGTGAGAGAGTGTGTGTGTGTGTGTGTGTGTGTGTGTGTGTGTGTGTGTGTGTGTG